TGAAGGATTGATAGTCGGAAAAAAACAAATGTACTTTCTTTATAAGTTAACTTTATTGAGATACAATTTATATACAACATAATACACCCGTTTAAAGAGGGAAGAGTAATAAATAATAGTATATTCCCTGTGCGTTGCATGGGGATGGTGGGTTAAAATCTGAAGACTTCTTGGAGCAGAAGTGTTAATAGGAATTTAAGGAGCCCTGAGGCAGCCTGCTGTCCCCTCTTCCTCCCCAGCCCACCTTGGCCCCCCAGCTGCTCCCCTAGGACAGATGCAGCAGATCCCCTGTCCCCAGGATCACGACCCAAGCCCACGCTCACCACTCTGGGCTGGACTATGTCCACAGCCTCTCTCTGCATCCTGCCTCCGTTCATTAGGGGCTATGACAAAACGCCATAAACGGGTGACTTGAAAACAACAGAAATGCATTTCTCAGAGTTCTGGAGGCTGAAGTCAAGACAAGATGGCAGGCTCTGTGTCTGGCCGGGGCCTGCCTCCTGGTCACAGAGGATGCCATCTTCACGTGGCAAAGGGGTGAGGGTCTCCCAGGGCCTCTTTTATAAAGGCACTAACCCCATCACGAGGCCCTTCTTGACCTAACACCTCCCCAAGGTCCCATTCCCTGGCACTGCCACCTTGGGCTCGGGATTCCAACACAAGTTTTAGAGGGATGCAAACACCCAGAACACAGCAACCTCAGAGGAATCGCACTAAGCGTGGCCATGCCCCCGCCTTATTCAAAAGCCTGCTGTGGCTCCCCATTGCCCTGGACCAAAAGCCCTAGCTTCTGTGAGACCGTTTCGGCAAGTTACTTAACCTCTCTGTACCTGTTTTCTTAACTGAAAAGGAGGGATAAAAATAGTGCCTCCCTCAGAAACCTGTAGGATTCCATGCTGAACATGGGGCGGGGTTCCCGCGATCTTTAACCACAGCCTCTCTGACCTGGCCTCCCTCCCTCCCTCCCTCTGGTCTCATCTGCCCTTCTTTGAACGAGTCAAGCATGGTCCTAGCTCATGGTCCTTTGGCACTGGCTCTTCTCTCCACTGGCAGGCTGCTCCCCCAGAAATCAGTCCAGCTCACTCCAGCAAGCCTTCGCCCCAAGGGCACCTTCTCAATGAGCCCCCAGACCACCCTGTTGAAAACCACAGTGGACGCTCGGCCCTGCTCCGTCTCATTTCCCCGGCTCTAGGAACCATGGTTCTTTGCTGCCTCTTCTCCCTGTCTGATCTTAGCCTCCTTCAGGGAAGATCTTTGCTGGTCTGTTTTGTTTACCGTCAGACCTTCGCCCCTAACCCCAGCACCTAGAAAATTCCTAGCACAATGGAGGTGCCTAATAAGTATTGGCCTGAATGACTCAAGGGGTGGTGGGAAGCCCTTGGGACAGAAACAGGCAGGGAGGTGCTCCATGAGTGGACATCACCATCCTCAATGTCATCATTGATCCCTGGAGCAGGCTCCCAGGCCCCTCCTCCTCGACTTCTCCCAGCTCATAATCACACCTTCCCAGTCCCCGCCGCACCCTGCGCATCTCCCAATTATAGTAAGGAACGGTGATTACATCTTTAATTATATCTTTTTCCACTTAGGCTGAATCAAGTGAAATTGCTATTTTTTTTTTTTTTTGTAAGATATTGTCTGGTTCACATCGTTTATAACCCAATAGGCTTCTCACAGCACCTCAGGGCCCGGCACAGGGGACACCTGAAAAATGTTTGCCCATCGGAGTGAGGTCACTTGGCCCTCCAGACCCGGCAGGATGGCAAAGCTTTTCCTGCACCAGCTACAGATAGAAAACGACAGAGGGAGCGTCTGCATTATCCCGTGTCTTCCTGAGAAAGGCACCCGCTCTACCCAAGCTCTGGCCATTAGAAAGCAGCAAAAGTGTCAGGCATGGTGGCCCACACCTGCAATCCCAGTGGCTCAGGAGGCTGAGGCAGGAGAATTGCAAGTTCAAAGCCAGCCTCAGCAACTTAGTGAGGCCGTAAGCAATTCAGGGAGACCCTGTCTCTAAATAAATGAAAAGGGCTGGGGATGTGGCTCAGTGGTTAAGTGCCCCTCAGTTCAATTCCTGGAACCAAGAGGGGGAGAGAGAGAGAGAGAGAGAGAGAGAGAGAGAGAGAGTTAGTTTAAGGCTGAAACCCCTAGCTGTCCACTCTAAGGGAATCCATTTGACGATGGGGAAGGGGGGGCTGGGCTGTCCCTGGCTGCCACCTGCTCACTGCTCCCTTCAGTAACAGGCCCTGCTACGGGTCTTCACTAAGTCTAACTCCTGGGTTGCCAAAGCTGAAACAAATCCAACCACCGCTAGGTCTACGCCCATTGCACAGTTGGGAGAAACGAGGTCCAGGGAGGGGCAGGGACTGACTGAGCCAAGGTTAGCGGGCCCAGGAGAGGGAGAGCCCACGCTGGAATCTACCTCACTGACTTTAGTATCATGGCCTTTCTTCTGGATGACACTGCTCCGCCACCCAGTCTCTGGTAAGGCCAGCTTTTACTCTTGCTACTTTTTAAGGTGTCTTTTTCAAAGGAAATGTTTAGGAAGCCTCAGATGATCTATGGGGAGTGGCTTCACCACAGGACAGCTTCTTACAGATAACAGCACCACCTCTGTCTCTCTCCAGTTCCTTCCTTTAGGGTAAAGTCCCTAAAGTAGAAGCCTAGGAACAAAGGGCAGGCAGGATCATTTTCAAGGACTTTTCTAACAGGCTGCCCGTCAACCCACAAGACCAAATGCCACAGGTGGCTCTACAACCTTATGGGCACAGCTATCCTTTTATATTTCTTTTGCTAATTTAAATTGTTTGTTTGTTTGCTTGTTTGTTTTAAAAGATACACTCTAGTTTTGAAATTAGGATCCCTGGACTAAGTGGAAGGTTTGTTGTAAAACTTCAACCAGTGACATCCCCTCCAGGGACAGGGGACACTCATCTTTAAAATAAAGGGGTTGAATGAGATGGTTCCTTAAGGCCCCTTTCAGGTGTGATATTCCATGGTACATTTAAAAGGTATTAGTATACAGCTGGGCGTGGTGGCGCACACCTGCAATCCCGCCTTGCCATTCAGGAGGATCACAAGTTCAAGGCCATCTGGGCAATCCAGTTAGACCCTGTTTCAAAATAAAAAGGAAAAAGGTCTGGATATGTAGCTCAGTGGTAGAGAGTCCCTGGGTCCAATCCTTAGTACCAAAAATAAATAAACTAAATAAAAAATAAGTAAAAAGAATTAGTATGGAATGACTTTTTAACAACCAGAATCTGCCATGCTTCAAAATCAGGACGAAATGGCTTGAACCAGCTGGGCAGGAAAACGGGACCCAGATAAACACTTGCGTAGAGAAGACAGGAGACTTAGGTAGCACTTAGGCCCGTGGGTTGGGGGAAGGCTCCTGGGACGGCATGTATACTTAGTCTGCTTTTACGAGGGGATAATAACACTCATCCGTGGTCCAGCTCCAAGTCCTGGGCAGCTCCATCCAGGCCACAGGGCAAAGTCAGATCACTCCATTTCAGCCCTGGAATCCCACTGCCCCGGAAATATGCCCCCGTCCAGCCTCTGAACACCTGAGGTGACACAGAGCTCACCACCTGCTCAGACGCCCCTCCCTTTTTATGGCCTCAGGACTCCTGGGTGACAGGCAGGTCATGAAGGGGACAGGAGAGACCGGAAGTCTCATTTCCAGAAATTTCTGATTTCTCAGATAGAAGGGTCTGGAGAGGGGTTAGGCTCCTCCTCTCACTCCAGCTTTCTCAAGAGATCACAGGAGGTGCTAGGAACTTCAGGAGGCACCAGTCTCAGAGGGGTCCACACAGAGGGGTCCACACAGAGGGGTCCACACAGCCTGCTGGGGCCAGAGCAGACACCTCAGGGCTCTTCTTGCCTTTGCTCCCTTTGCCTCTGACCAGAGAGGCTGCTCTTCCCCGGGCTGTTCATCCTGGTGATGGGCAGATTTAAGGGATGCGACCACTGCCTCAGGGTGAGGAGGGAGGGGTCAGGTGGTGTCCTTAGACCCCTAGCAAGACGAGCAGGAGGGACAGTGACTGGGAAGCAGATCTCAACTCAGTTTGCAGATAGTGACCTCCCCAACCACAGGAGTGTGCAACAGAGCAGCAAGACCTTGCAGAGGGATATTACAGAGGGGCTGGGCCCATGCCAGAGGTCTACACCCAGAGAGCCTGGAACCACAGCCCCTCTGTCAGGAGCTCTCCCCATCAATCCCACTGAGACATGGCACTCCCTGTGCTGTCACCAGGATCCAGGTGTGGCCCTCGACAGAACTGGGCTCCGACAGACAGCCAGGGCATGGAGGAGTCCATCCTACCCCATTTCCTACATGCAGGTGGGTGTCTGCGTGGGTTTGGTCAGGCAGCTCTGTGGCTGAGTTCCGGCCACCTCCAGCCTCAGACGACGAAGCCAGTCTTGGCACACACTCTGCACGCCCCACCCGCATGCCCAGGCCGGCGCGACAGGGACCTGGGGATGTCTTATCCCCCCACTGTTTCCTGTGCAGGGAAAGTGAGGCCCAATCCGTCATTCAGCCAAGAGAGGGAGGGTCACGACTTGGGTTCAATGGGGCACCCGGGCCACAACAGGGGCCTGTCAGGACCGGCTGGCCGCGCCCAGGGCGAGCCGCCTCGCCGCGGGAGGGAGGGGAGGGAGCGGCGGGCGGTGTAGCCCGTGCCCGTGCGGGCCGCAAGTCGTCGGGACCCGCACCTAGGGGCGGCCGCTCCCAACAGCCCGCCAGGGCGAGGGCCACGTTGCGTCCGCTATCTCGATGGGGAAACTGAGCCAAGAAAGGCGCAGGGCTTTGTGCAATGTCACGCGGAGGGGCTGGTAGCCCGGTCCCCGCGCCCCGCCGGGTCCCCCGCGGCGAGCCAAACCCAGCATCCCTCCCTCTCCCGGGGCTGCAGCCGGAGGTGCATCGCGCACGTCCCGCCCGACGCCCCAGCGCGCGGATCGCGGAGGTGCGGCCGGCCGGCCACCGGCGCTGGCCACCCTACCTTGCTGACTGCCGCGCAGGTGGCGGCGGCGGCGGCGGCAGCGTCCGGCTCCTGCTCCGCGCTCCGCGCCACCCGCCGAGTCCCCGCGCGCAGCACCACCGCCTCCCCTGCAGCCCGGCGGGCGGGGCCGGGTGGGCGGGGCGGGCCGGGTCCCGGCCAGGCCCCGCCCCTCGCCCGCCGCGGCCCGCGCTCCGGGTCCCCCGGCTGGTCTCCGGGTGCGCACGCGCCCGAAGCAGGCACGCACCCCGGCGCGCACACGATGAGGTGCTTGGGGCTGGCTGCCTGAGACCCAGCGGAGGCCGGGGCCGTCAGACCCGCCTGGCTGTCTCCTCGCTTGGTGGCGTGGGCCCAGGGACTCGGCCTCCCGGAGCCTCAGCATCCCCCTTGGCGAAGTGGAGGCAGTAACCGCGTCTGCCTCGGAGGCCGGTTGAGAACTAGATCAGAAGAGCCCTCCGGGTACCCTGCGTGCTCAGAGACCGGCTCAGGGAAGCGCTCCCAGCACCCGGGCTCCTGGAGGGTCCCCCAGGCTCCCCAAGCTGGACCGCCACTGAGCGTCAGGGAGGACTCCTTTCCCCGGTAGCCAGGAGGGGGCGCTGCTGCTCAGTCTGGCCAACTTTGAGCCCCGAGGACGTTAGGCAATGGTGGGGTGGAGATGGGAGGCCCTGCCTTTAATAACACTACCTCACACTTACTGAACCAGCATGTGATGTGCGTTACCTATCATACACCCCTGTGAGTTTGATACTCTTACCTGTTTTACAGATAAGGAAGCTGAGGCTCAGAGAGGTGAGATACCTAGCTTAAGATCACACACCACCTCTCTTGAGAACAACTTTTGTGCAGTAGGGCATCCTGAAGGCCTAGAACAGTGCCTGGCACATAGTAGGCACTCAATACGTGATTGTTGAATGAATAGGAAAGTAAGCTATGCTACTTTACGTACGTTGTTACTTTTGACCCTATCAACCTTTTTACTTAGCCTTTGTTACTCCCATTTCATAGATAAGAAAATTGAGACTTAGAATGGCCAAGTACTTGGTGGGGGTGGGGTGTGGGGCTATCAATGATCCTAAACAGCCAGGGCCAAGGCCTGCAGCTCAGGCTTTGAACTCAGATCACCAGGCCACTCCCCTGCCCAGAGCTGGAGGGGTTCTCCTCAAGCTCAGTGTCTAGAACCTTTCCCAGGCTGAGATTGTGAATGTCTTAATTGCCTCAGGGCCTGGGCAGTGTCTGGTGCCCCTCCTCTCCTTCCCTTAGTGCTGCCTTCCTGCCCAGCCTCCCAGAATGCGCTGTGGATGTGCCCTTCCAGCCTGCATCAGCCTCTCTCCAGCCTGTGCCAGGGTGGATGGTGGCCTGGACTGTTTGGGGACAGGCTGGTTTAATGGGGACCTCTCTGAGGACTGTTGCATATTGACCATAAGCCAGAGAGGAGGCCTGTGCAAGACACGACCTGGGACCCTTCCTAGGGTTGCTGTGGGGTGGGATGCAAAAGGGGGGCCTTCTTTTTCTGCTCCCTCTCCTGGTCTAGGCATGGAAGGCGGCTTGGCCGCCCCCTGAATCGCATACTTGGGGAAACTAAGGCCTGAGTGAGCCTTGACCTACCAGGGGCCTGCCTGGTGGGAATACCACAGAGGGTGGCTGACTCCAAAGCCAGCACCTTCCTCTGGAACTTGGTGCTGACGGGGAGAGGCCAGGAGCCCTCTCCTCCCAGGGTGTCCATATTGGCCAGGGTGTCCTCACTGTCCACTACCAGTGTGGGACCAGGACAGGTGTGTGTGTGTGTGTGTGTGTGTGTGTGTGTGTCAAGGTGGGGGAGCTCTCCATCTGTCTGCTCTCATAGAGCTTCCTGTGCAGTGTGGCCCTGCATCCACGGAGGAGGGAGCTGAGAAAATGAGATGTCAGCACCTGGGGCGAGGTTCTGATGGGGGATGGAAGCCCTGAACAGGGGCGATCTGGATCTGTAAGGGAGTGCACGCCTCCCACTTTGGGAGTCCCCCAGGCCCTTCCTCCTCCTTTGTTCAGAGGTTCCCCAGGGCTCTTTTCCCCTCCCTTGGAGAATGGGGCCTGCCCTTCAGCCTGCTGGGGGCTGAGGGTCTGGGGGAGGGATGCTTGGAAAGTCCACCCCTGGGGAAGGAAGGAGGGGCTTTGGGGGATCTGATCCTCCAGACCTGGAAGGCAGCAGCCCCTGGGGAAGGGGAGACAGCTGTGGTGCAGGGCCCGGAACCTGACACCAGGGGTGGGCCCAGGCGCCCTCCAGGAAGAGCAGGGGGAGGGGAGCAGGGGCAGCAGGCTCAGACACGCTGGGGTGGGGACCTGTCTGCTGCATCCTCACTGTCCTATGGGTGTCTGCTCCCTATGCTTGTCTCTGATTAAGGGACAGCGCCACAATTCCAGCTTGGGATAACAATTTGGAAGCTCCTTCTCCTTTCCCCCTTGCTCAGCAAGCCCCATAGTGTGTCCACATGAGGCCAGAGGCCAGGCCAGTCCAGTCCCCCAGTCCTGTCCTTGTGAGAGGTGTTCTAGGTCCCATAGAAGGCAGGTAAGTGGGCAGGGGCCCTCCTTGGCTGCAGTCAGGGCCTCCGGGACCTAGCGAGGCTGTGTGACTTGGACAGGTTAGTCGGCATCTCTGTGCCCCATCACCTGAGCTTGGACTGGGTGAGTAGGTGCTGCAGAACAGGAAGTTCTCAATCCCAGCACCCCTCCCCAGGGCTGAAGGAAGTAGCCGGTCCTCACTGTCCAGGGGTCCGGATGCTCCCAGTGTATTGGACCACCCAGGCTCCACAACAACCTGCGTCTAGGGTCTAGAACCCACGTTGTTTTAAAATTTGTTTTTGTTTTGTGTGGTAATTCAGATGGAACCCAGGACCTTGTGCATGCTGGGCAAGTGCTCTGCCACTGAGTCACATTCCCAGCCCCCAATTTTAAAAAATCTACACAGGGGATTCTAAGATGCAGCCAGAAAGGAAACAGGCGACAGAGCTGGCCCAATGCAGAGCACACCCACCTTTCCAGGCTGGGAGAAGAGCTGGGGCTCCCAGCTCTGTGCAGAGCCCCAACTCCGATGGGAGTGGAAAGGGGAGGTTTGGAGGGGGAAATGGGAAAGCAGAGGGATGGAGGACAAGAGGGAGCAGCAGCCCTCCGCCTGATCAGTGGGTTTTTTTGGGGGGTGTGGGGTTTTTTGGGGGGTACCATGGATTGAACCCAGGGGTGCTTGACTACTGAGTCACATCCCCAGCCCTTTTCTATTTTTTATTTAGAGACAGGGTCTTGCTGAATTGTTCAGGGCTTCACTAAGTTGCTGAGGCTGACTTTGAACTCCTGATCCTCCTGCCTCAGCCTCCCAAGCTGCTGAGATCACAGGCGTGCGCTGCCGTGCCCTGCTTGTGTTTTTTAAATATACAATACAAATGCTTTATTTAACAGTTGCCAACCATCGGCCAAGTAGTAGGTACCGGGGCCCAGCAGCAAGTTCAGCAAAGCTTCCGAGCCTCTTCTGACTCCAGCAAGGTCAGCACATCACTTTCTGGATGGGCCTTTGAGTTCCAGATGAGGGAGGAGACAGTGTTATCCATGAATTCCATGTACCTGTGTGTACTGTCCCCGTGAGTCTGTCCTGCCTAGCACCTTGGGGACTCTGGCCAGCGGATGGGCTGTACACAGCTTATGTCCTCCATGGTGCCGCAGCGGTATGGGGTAGAGAGACCAGTGTGTTTGTTTTTGCTGCAGGGGGAACGTGAGTTTCAGCGGAGTCAGCAGAGCACGCGGACTCGGGTGCTTTCCTTCCCTGGGGGTACTGGCTGGGGCTGGGGGCTCTTCTCTGTGAGAACACCAGCAGCACCTCCTTTGCCCCCCTGGCTCCCTCGCCAGCCTGGTGACCGACCTTACCTGCCAGGGTGCTGCCAGGACCCTGCCCCCCCACCAGCACATTCCATGGAAACTGGTGGTAAAGTGCCTCAGCAGGTGCTGGAGAGCCAGGCCCAAGACTCTGCCCACATGATCACAGGTGCTGCTGAGAAATGAACTGTGACCCGTGTGCGGTCTCCGTCCCTGCCTTGGGTGGGGACAGTGTGTGTCTGCTGAGAAAGACCTGGGAAAGCTGGGAAGAGCTGACCGTGAGCCTGGGACCACGAAGCACAGAAGCCCTGAGCTCAGCGGTCAGCAGTGTGGAGCAGCCTTGCCCTGGGGGACCGGAGGCTTGGTGGAGGGCCACTGCCACCACCCTCCCCCCCCCCCCAGCTACCTTTGCAGGAAAGCCGACAGTAGCAGGGGCAGCAGCAGGTCAGAGTGGGTGTGTACAAGGGCTTCTGCCCAGCCCCTATGGCCAGATCCCCTCGGTGGTCAGAAGAGCTCTTCCGGGGAGCACCGCAAAAGAAGAAAGAAGGATCCAGGTGCAGGCTGTGAAACCAGACCCTGGTATGGGGGGTGGCCTGGACACAGACCTGGTGGGCACTGACAGGGATCTGCTTTCCTGAAAGACAGGTGTCCTCATGACTCAGGCCCCAAGCTCCGCAGGAACCAGGAGACGTGCCCTGCAGGGTCACCTTGGAACAGCAGCTGAAAGGCTGGGGGTGGCAAACCCGGGCCCCCGGGGCCCCACCAAGAACAACTGGACACTGAGAAGTATGTGACTCCCAAAGCTTGTGGGTGGTTTCCAGCACAAACACTGGTTTATAGATATAACTTAGAGGATGCCCAAGGCGGCACCACGAAGACTATCCCACTGGCCTGCCCACCGGCCTGCTCTGTGGGGAGGTGAGAAGCGCATGGCCTCCCTGGTGCGCGTCCGTGAAAGAAGGTCACATGGTGATGGGGCTGAGGGGTTGCCAGGCCTGCAGGGGGCTGCACGTAAGGGTGAAAAGGCTTTGCGTAGGGGAGTGGCCAGGTCAGGCGTCCCCGTCCCCATCATCCTCACTGGCGCATCCCTCGGTCACTGCTCTGCCCCGGGACGCCCGTCTCTCCAGGTACTCGGCCTTCAGCTGCTCCAGCTCCCGCAGCTCTGCCTCCAGCCGCTCCCGGTGGGTTGCCCGCAGCTGCCGCAGCTGCTTCATGGGAAAGGGGTTCATGTCGCTGAAGGCGATGTGCATCAGCTTCCTGAGAGGGGCACACAGTCAGCTCAGCTGTGCGGCCTGCTGGGCCTGTTCTGGGACCTTCGGACACCTTTCCCACCACAGGGGCCCTGGGCCTGCCCTTGGGGAGTGTGACTTGCAGGCAGGAAACATGAGAAGCCCTTTCCACCCAGAGAGAACTGACCCACAGGGAGGAACCTCAGAGGCACCTCGCCCAGCAGGAGGGGTTGGCAGGGGAAGGCATCCTGAAGAGGTGACAGGTGAGCTGAATTTTGAAGAGTGAATGAAAGCTGACAGGCAGAGGGGAGGTGCTTTGCAAGGTGGGGAGGTGGCACGGAGGCATTCTAACAGAAGCATGCAGGGCACAAGCCTAGAGGCAGGGCTGTTCTGGAAACTCAAATAATCTGCTTTCTAGATTCACAGGCCCGGGTGCTCAGGGAGGGAAAGGTGGGCGAGCACTGAGACTGGGCTGGGGCCGAGTGGCAGAGCACCTGGGTGACGCGGGTGAGGCCCCAGCGCGATCCCCAGCACACACACCACCTAAAGCTGCATGGAGAGTCTGAAGGCCAGGTTAAGGGGATGGATCATGAAGGGTCCAGGACTTCCCTCCAGACACCTAACCTATGATGGAGGACCAGAGTCACCGCCTGGGGGCAGGGGCAGACCCTCACCGGCTGTTGCAAATGGTCTTGGTGAAGAAGCGCAGGTACTGGTAGATCTCCAGGCTGTCCTGCAGCCGCAGGATCTCCTCCTCGTTGTACTTGAAAATGGCCAAGGCATAGCGGAACACCACCTGGGGGCACAGCAGGGGCTCAGGTATGGCATGGCATGGGCCAGAATCCCCAGAGGGAGGAAACCCAGAGGCCAGGCAGCCTGGAATCCCTGGGCAGGCTGCAGAGAGGGAGGCCTAGTGGCACAACATGGGGGTAGACACAGGAAGTGAGGGAGGCTGAGGACCCCGAGCAGGGCACAGCTTCAAAGGCAGGGATTTGGATGACGCGGGTGAGGCCCCAGCGTGATCTGGATGAAGTTCCAGATCTACCTCTGGACTTCCCCAAGACAGGCAATGCACTGCGTCTGGTGGACCTCTCAGGGTGAATACAGTAGTGTGTGGCATGGTAACACACCTGTAATCCCAGCAACTCAGGGAGGCTGAGGCAGGAGGATCAAAAGTTCGAGGCCAGCCTCAGCAACTTAGTGAGCCTTTAAGTAACTTAGTGAGGCCCTGTCTCAAAATAAAAAATAAAAAACGGCTAAAAATAAAAAAAATGGCTGGGGATGTAGCTTAGTGGTAAGGTGCCCCTGGGTTCAATCCCCAGTGAAAAAAAACAAAACAAAAACCCAAACTGTGTTGTTAGATGGGTCTGTGGGAGGTGGGCGTTTGTCCTTGGTCTCCTCACAGGGTCAGGGCAGGGCTTGGCCCAGACCCAGGCTCCACTCTCAGTGCAGGGCTCAGTCCACAGGAAGAAGGAAGGAGGGGTCTGGGTGACAGGCAGGGGATGTGCATCCCTGGTCATGCTGGGCGCCCTCTCAGGGAGCGACTGGGCAACCTCAGGGCGCATCTTCAGAGGCAGAAGTGCCCCTTCCCTCAGGCGCTACAGCACTTCACGATTTACAAGCCACGCCCTCAGCTGTCCCCAGCAGTCCTGCCAGGTGGACACTGTCTTCCTTTCTCCAAGGGCAGAGTCAAGACAGAGGGGGGCGGGGCGGGACCGGCTCGGGCCCAGCAGCGCCTACCTTGGTCCCCTCGTATAGGAAGGCGTCCCAGACCCGCAGGAGGATGTCACTGATCAGACTGTCTGCAAAGACCACGAGGAACCAGTTGAACGTGACGAGGGAGAGGTCGATGCGGTGTTGCCCCAGGTGGGCCATCAGCCTGGGCAGCTTCTCTGAGAGGAGGTCCTGCAGCACCCGCTGGTCCACCTGGAAGGCAGTGAGAGGGCCATCACTGGCACCCTGGGGAAATGGCCACCTCCCTTCCTCCCGGCCCCTCAGACCCAGGCTGTCCACAGCAAGCCTGGGGTGCTGAGCGGCCCTGCCCTGACCAGCACCGAGCACCTGGGGAGCTGGGACCCAGGGGCAGCTGCACATCACCTGCTGCTCCCAACACAGGCCAGGGTCACTTGGTTGGAGCATCAGGCTTTACAATGGAGGTCTTTGGGCTGGCCAGTTCTTGGCCACCCCAAGTCCAGCTGACCCTCCTGGTGATTCAGAGAAACTCATGGATGAACTGGCACACCGCTGAGGTCCCCTCCAGGACCGTCAAAGCAAGAGCCGTGGGTGGAGGACAGGGGACAACACTGGCCCTCTGGGTTGACAGATATGGAGAGCAGGCCCTGGACACACTGTGTTCTTTTCTCTTTTTCTGAATATGGGAAATTCTCCATAGCAAGAAATTAAAAAGAAAAAGCAAACTTGACCCTGTGACACAAGCCACCTTAATTTCAGAGATGCTGAGATGTGGAAGTAAAGTATGGCACATTCCCAGCCCCTGCCCCAGTGAGGGGCCACCTGAGACCCCGTGCTCTAACGCCCCAGGGGGAGCCAGCTCCGCTGCCCACCTTTCTGCTTCTTCCACCCAGGCCAAGGGGTGCCGCAGCCCCTGGAACCATGAGGTAACAAGCCCCAGGCCAGGGAGAGCGAAATAGGGAGCTAGGAGGAGCCTGATCCCAGAGGGCATCAAGAAGTGAGCCACCCTGTCATTATCTGAGAGAATAATGGACCGCTGAAGCCACTCCTCGGCCAGCCTCCCTCCCACACAGTCCAGTGCAATCCCTATCTGATCCCCACCTCCCTGCTGACTTCCCAGCCTCACTCCTCTCCTGAGAGCTGTCCCTGAGCCGCCAAGGTCCCGCCCTCCAGAGATGGAAGTAGGAAAGGAGGGGAAGGAAGTACACATAGACAGAGTCCAGATTGGAGGTGAGCAGTGGGCAAGGCCGGCAGAGGGTGGGGAGGCTTGGAATGACTTTGCACTTAGGCCTCTTAACAAGCCCTAGCAGCAACTTTACTCCCATTCTAGAGCAGGCATGCTTGGGGTTCAGAGAGGTGACGTTATGTGCCAAGGCAGCACAGCAGATCAGCCACGGGCAGAGCTCTGGACCCTGTTCTGCCTGACCACAGGGCCAGAGGGCAGTAGAGGTGTAACAGGACAGTGGAGGCAGCCATGCTGCTCAGTGGACAGTGATGAGCATGAGCAGGAATGGTCACCATCACCCCCATCCTGCTGAACTGTGTTCTGAATTCTTTTTTCCAGTACTGGAGATGGAACCCAGGACCTAGCACATGCTAGGCAGGCACTCTACCGCTGAGCTACATCCCCAGCCCTTTTGAAATTTTTATTTTGAGGCATGGTCTTGCCAAGTTCCTAAGGGTCTTGTTCAGTTGCCCTTGCTGGCCCTGAACCTGCAGTCCTCCTGCCTCTGGCCCCCAAGTAGCTGGGATTCTAGGCATGTGCCACGAAGCCCTGCTGTGTTCTGAAATTTGACTGGCAAATGGAAAATTAAACTAGGTCTGTTCTTCCTCTCCCAGTGACATGATGTCACCACTGGACTCATACCAGTCTGTCCTCTGGGCAGAATCCCCAAAGTTCTTCAGGCTGGAACTGCCCTGCGTCCCAGATAAGGGATATTGGCCCACCGTGCAGGTGGAGAAATGGAGGCCGGAGATTTCCAACTGACTCACAGGAGCAACTCAAGGGCACTGTTCTGCATGGCTGCCATGTCCCCTCCCTCCCTCTCACCTGGGATGCTGTCAGCGTCTTACTGTAGTAGTCGGCTGGCAGGATGGTCTCCACGATGGCTACCAGGCACCAGAAGGCACTCTCCTCCTCCTCCAGCACCAGCAGAGCCACAGCGGCCAGCCTGAGCAAGGATGAGCAAGGTGACACGGTCAACGCCCAGCCCAGGGCCTGGTACGCTGTGGGCTCTAACATGCTGGCCGCCCTCACTTCCATGTTCTCAAGCTCTGAGACGCTGGCAAGTGTGCGAACCTCCCTGAGCCTCGGCCTCGCACTCTGTAAGGTGATAAAGAAACCCACCTCCGGGCCATGGCCCCTGAGAAGCCTGTCTTTGGTGCTGCCTGGCACACAGCAGTGCACTGCACAGTCCTTCTCTCCTGGACCACCCCCTCTCAGGAGGCTCAAGTGACACCATTGGTAAGAGGGACAAGCCCCCAGGGCTGAGCAGGGAAGTCTTCCTGCTTCTCCATTTTTGCTTGCAGGCTGCATCCAGGACCAATCCAAGTTACACTTCCCTACTGTCCTCCTTGGATTCCTGTTCTCCTAAGATGCTACATAAATACAAGGTCCAGTATTCAAAACCACCTGGGGAATGCTGCCCACTACAGACCCTTTTGGGGGCTTATGATGTACACTATCTCAGAAAGCCTCTGGGGAATCCTGAAATGAGACCCTGTGTCACTTTAACCAACCCAGAGTAACTGTGGGCCATGGAGCCATATCATTGTGCCACTAGTAATGCTTCCCTGGGTTCTCACTAGACTGGATTTATGACCTCCACCTTCTTTTGAGATTCAGGACTTCTAGAAACAAGGATGAGTCTCAAAAGAAAAAAGAAAACCTTTCTCCTTTCCCAGTGTTTGGGATAGCAAATATGTGGTATGTCTGCCACCATTCTCTTTATCCATGTCCAGGACAGACATAACTAATAGATCTTGGCAACATTCCCCTTGCCGATGTCCAGAGCAGACATAACTAATTGATCAGGGCACTCTTTCCCCCTGAGTTGAAGCTACCTTAGAGACTGCCTCAAGATAGGCCTCCAGCAGCAGTTTCCTATTGGCTCTCTCTGGTCAAGACAAACTCATTACTCACAGATAGGAAAACTGAGACCCAGAAAGCAAAAGAGAATGCCTCGAGATCACAGTCGGCTGATGATAGAGCAGGAAGAGAACCCAGGAATCCCAACATCCAGCCCACCAACTCAGAGTGTCCTCAGTCCAGGAGCTGGCTGCCAGTGCCAGCTTAGAATTTCTCACAGCACACATTAGAAAGCCAGTTACCTGAGGCTGGTCCCCACTTGGGCTGCTCACTGCTCAGACTCCAGCAGGGCTCCACCCTCAGGCTCTCAGGGCCCAAGGAGGCCTGCAAAGGGGAAATGAGCCAAAGGGGAAAGAGCAAGCTACTTTGGAAGGATTCCACTTATTTTTCACAGGGAAATGGCTTTAAAATGTTTGCTCTAAATTGGCATTAAATCACCGTGTTCTATCTTCACCGTCTAAACCGGCTGGATTTGTTGCCTTAGAAGCAGGATGTTATCTTTGAGACATGGGGTGGGGGTGGGGCGTGGTGGCACAACACATGCATTTCCAACTGCTGCCGCTAGATGGCAACTCAGGCAAGTGTAAGGGGTCTGCAGTTTGGGATTCGGGCCTCCAAAGGAACACACTGCACTTTCCATAGTAGAACAGGCCCTTTCTAATACACTTAACTTTCTAGTTAAAGCAACAGCACAAATATTTGCATGAATACCAACTATCTGTGCTTACATATCAAATTTAAGTAAAAATAGCAGAGACAGAGATAGTAAAAAGTACCCTCTGGGCGTCTCCCTCTTCTTTGGCCTCAGTTGTTCCCATCTGCTTTCTAGAAGCAGCCTGTGCCACCTCCTTCCACAGGGGGAGCTTCTCTCCTGTGTGCTGATCTCAAGGTCCCCTGGCTCCTGTACTTTTTCCTGCTTTGGCACACATTGCACCCCAGAGCACCATAGCCTGTATATGGCTAATTGCTTCTCATAGAGGTCACATCGGATCAGGAAAAAATGTTTCAGGGTGGCACCAGCCCACTGCCTGCCAAAGCTCCCACTCTGAATGAGGGTGGGTTGTGGGAAGGACTGGGTGTGGGTGTCCGGGGTTGGAGCTGGCCCAGATGCCAGGCATGGTGAGGCTCTGGGCAGGTGACTCAGCTTCTCTGAGCTTCCCTGACTTGCCTGGAGAATGGGGGCACCAGTGCCCACTTCAGGTTTCCATGAGGATTAAGTGATGTCAGGTATGTAAGCACCCTCAGTAAGTTGCTTCCTACCTGACCTTTCTAAGAAATGGGAAAATCATTATTTGTACAAATCCCATGGCTTCCATTTCCCTGCACAGCTGCTCTTAAAAAGGCTTTGCAATTTTTGTTCCTCCTAGATTTCAACATGTTCACACAGATAAAAAATATACAGGCTTTTGCTCAGCTGTTGATGAAGGAGTAGAATTTCTACAGACATCACCTGTAGCAGACATGCAGAATAACACGAATTTCAGGCTTAAATTAAGAGGCATTCCTGTTGGAGCTTAGCTCTGAATTCCCAGTAATTGTACATATCCATGCTCAATTTTACCTAAATTTAGGGTGGAATAAGAGTATTGAAAATATGTGCTCTTGGGAGCCATTCAAATTTGAGTTAAGGACACTCCGAATGTCAATTCTGGGTTAAATAAATGCCACACACCACCTATTCAGAAAAAATAGAGCAGAATGGCTTTTGCAAATTTTACTCAAGCATGTGTGTGTTTAAATGAAATTGAGTCAAAATTTGCTTTGGGAAATCTTCAAGACTATGCAATTTCTATGGAGGTATGTAGTGTTCATGAAAGTCCCCTTCCACTTGTGGAGAAGACAGCCCTATGAACCAGGGCCCATCCTCATCCCCAGTCTCTCTCCTCTCCCCTGCTAATTAGACCAGAAATGGAAAGTAATGCATGCTGCGCCATTCAGATTCCTTCTTTGGGATGCAGGTCCTGGGCATGAGGGTTAAGGGCACAGGGTATAAGGTGGGAAGACTCGCTGTAGCCCACAACTTAGTGCTCCACTCTGACGACCTCGATGGGCTGTAAATGCCCCAAGAATGAGTAGGTCTGCCAAGAGGGGTGGGGCCGAAGGCAGAGTGGGGTGGGGGCCAGAGGCCCTGCAGCTGCAGGGCAGTGCAGGGGCCACATGGCCTTGGGGGAGGGCATTCCAGGCAATACTGGACGAGTGCCAGCCTGGGCTTCTGTAGCGCTGCGCCCCTGCTGGGCCATCTATCCTCAGCTCTGTCCTCTTCCTCCAGTTCCCCGAGCTTCCCCTGTACCATTTATAAATTCCGTCTTCCTTGGGCTCCTCTGCGTGGGTTTTGTATAATGCTCCCTGACCTGGCCAGGGCTGTCATATGTGAGCTGGGCCCTCACTGTACACTCCAGGGGACCACTCCTGATGGCTCTATGTGAGTGGCATCTCCTGAGCACAAATCGGAGAGCACAGGACAGGGACCTGTGTTCTGACCCATCTGTTTTAAACATGTCTTCTCACCTGCCCGTCCCTATGTGTCCAGTGAGGGCCAGCCTCCCGGGCTTCTCTCTCAGGGTTTCTGGGAGGCCCTGAAAAGTCAGCAGTGCTCTGAAGGCAAAGGGTGTGCCCGACCGCCAGAGGCTCACCTGTTCAGGCCCTGGCAGTAGCCAATGGCTGGGTTCTGCCAGGAGAAGGCCAGCAACACCCGGCGGAGCTTGTCAGGGAAGCTGGAGGTGGGACAGGTGAAGTGCTTGTTGTTGGGGAAGGTCCGGTTCAGGTCCAGCTCGATCTGGCGGGCAGCAGGGTGCTCGCAGGCCTGGCCTCGCCTCAGCAGCTCCTGGTAGCAGCTAGGAGTGTGCAGGTGCTGGACACGGAGATGGACCAGCCATCTCCAGACGCGGGGCCGGTGTTCGCGGGGCACTCCCGCCCGCAGCAGCTGCTTGAGCTCTGCAGAGGGCGCGAGCTGGCCCAGGGCCGCCCAGCGCTCCCGCAGTGGCCGCTCCACAGCGTCGAGGGCCAGCAGGTGGTGGGAGCGCACCTCCAGCACCTGGATCCTGGCCAGCAGCTTCAGGTCTTCCACCTCATAGTCGGGCACTGCCAGGAAGCCGTACTCGTCATACTCACTGCCGGGAAAGACCCACATCAGCCACACCTTGCAGGGCCTGTCCCTGGACAAGGGGTGGGTGGGGGTGCTGGGCCAGGTTCCTCCCCAGCTTCACTGAGGCTCGGCCTTCAAGGCAGGGCAGGCCCCTCTACCCCTCCCAAACTGCCCTGTTCTGCCTCCTGAACACCCGGTGAGGTCCTAGAAGTGCCTGGTACGTAGTGCCCAGGAGACCCTCCAACGACCTCCAAAGACCTCAGGCACCTGGGGCCAAGGAGCAGAACCTTTCACCAGCCAGTGAGCTCGGGGACAGAGGGGGACAGACTGCACCAATGACAGGAGGAGGTGGAATAGCTGGGGGCCAGATAGCTTCTCATTTATTCAACATTTATTTGCCCCTACTATGTGCCCTGCAGGTGCTATCTGTCGAGATATATATATATTATATATATATATATATTTTTTTTTTGATACCCAGGATTGAATCAGAATAGTTCAACCATTGAGCCATCCCCAGCCTCTTTAATTTTTTTTTTTTTTTTTTAAATTTTGAGACAGTGTCTTGCTAAGTTGCTGAGGCTGGCTTTGAATTCCTGATCCTCCTGCCTCAGCCTCCTGAGCCGCTGGGATTACAGGTGTGCACCCCCCGCCCCCAGCGCTGCCAGTCTTATGATCTTGCAAAGCAACAGTCAGCCTACATCTTACAGGGGCTGAGAATGAAGCTCAGAAAGATTAAGTGACTCGTCAAAGAGCAAGAGAGCCAGGTCTGCTGGGTGTGGTGGCACATGCCTACAATCCCCACAACTCAGGAGACTGAGGCAGAAGGATTACAAGTTCCAGGCCAGCCTGGGCAACTTAAAGCCTGTTACAAAAATAAATTTAAAAGGGCTGGGATGTGGCTCAGTGGTGGTGACCTGGGTTCAATCCTCATCACCACCCCCTAATAGAGCCATGTCTGGCTCAAAAGCCCAGGCTTCTGCGGGTAAGCCACACAGCCTCAGGGACCTGTAAGCAGAGTCACACCCATGTCTGTTACTGTAACTGCCGAGTGCACTGCTCAGCCAGGATTTGGCTTATCTCCCCTCTGACCAACATGTCTGGGAGGAAGCTGGGCCAGGGCAGACCTGGGGCTCGGAGGCATCCCTGAGGGCTGCACTGATGTCCTCGGCAGCTCTGGGCAGGGGCTGCTCCTCTGAGCCTGCTCCTGGGCGGGCACTGCATGGTGCATCTGGAGCCAGAGGAGGTCACGACTGCACAGTGCACAGTCAGCAGGGCTGGCAGCAAGGCAGCGGGGTCTTTGGTCCTGCAGCCGCCAGGCTCACCTGACAGGGCCCAGCTCCACACCGCCATCAGCCGCGGCCTCGCTGGCTTCCCACTGCAGCGCCTCCTGGATGAGCTCCCGCAGCAGCTCCGAGCACTCGCCAGCCTCCAACCCCGCGGCCTCCTGCAGCCTCCGCAGCCCAGCCAGGTACTTGCTCTCCACCTGGCAGTTCCTGGCTTGGAGGTAGGCACACTGTGAGGGGAGGGGCGGCCAGTCAGGTTCCCTGCTCAGCTCTGGGCAGAGCAGCCCTTCCAGCTCCTCGCCCAGCCTCCCCTTCATGGGCCTTCACATAAGGGAAAGATGGGCCTGAGTACAGGGGGAGCACGGAGGCAAGGGAAGCAGGAGAGGGCTGGGCCTGGCCTGGGGCTGGGTCAAGAGAAAGAGAAGACGGGGCTGGGGCAGGGATGGACAGGCTCCAGTGCAGCTTGCAGTCCCATTCTGGTCTGCCCAATAGCTGTACAGCCTGTGGCAAGTCACTTAACCTCTCTGTGCCCTAGCTTGTTCATGTGCACAGTGGGGACAGCCTCAGGTTCTGGAGGGAGTAGTCGAGCTGATGAGCAAAACCCTCCCCGGGGGCTGGGCACAGAACCCTCTGCAGGGGGTGTGGCTGGGAGGGCCCTACCCTGTGCCATCTGTGCCACGGGGTGTCATCCCTCCAACACACAGCGCCCTCCCCCCAGGTCTTTCTGCGCGCTCCTCCCGGCCTTGAATTCCTGTTTCTATGTGTACAAGCCAGATGGTGCTGGGCAGGGCGGGTGACCTCTCTGGACCTTGTTTTCTGTCGCTATGAGATGGGGACGCAGAAAGCTGCCTCAGAGTACTGCCAAGACCTGAGCCGCCACGTCCCACAGGCGCACCAGGGAGCCTCGTGGCAGATGCTGCAGTCCACGGCACCCCTGCCAGTCGGCAGCTCCAAGCACTTGCCCAAACTTCCTGCTCCCCGGCTCCCACAACTGCTCCCCAACCCCAGGCCCCTGACTGCTTCCTGTGTTCTGTCACCAGTGGCCTTCTCAGGACTTCTGCTGGAGACTCTGGTCTCCCTGTGTCCAGGCCCTCTCCAGAAGCCCACCTTTTGCCGAGCAGCCGCAGCCATCTTCTCAGAACATCAGTCTGGGCCAGGATCTCTCCACTCAGACCCACTCAGCCTTGTCTCATCCTCCTCAGCTCTGCTTCATGCCTCTCAGGCCACAAACCTTTACCACGAGGTCTCCTTTCTTAGAAGGCCTTTCTGCACTGCTGGATAACACCAACTGGCCTTTAGGACTCACTCAGAAGACACCTCCTCCAGGAAGCCTTCCTTGACTTACCTTCCTACCTCCGGGCCCCATGAGTCTGTGAGTCCTAGCTGAGCTCAGCTCCCTCAATAGTCTGCACTCCCTTTGGGGCAGCAGCCGAGCTTATTGGTTTTGATGTCGCTTCCCCATAACTGCCCAGCAAAGCACCCCGACTGGGTGGCTCAAGTCAGCCAGACCACAGGGGCTGGGGAGGAAACGGACACTGTTCACAAGGGCTCAGTCCAGAGGGAGGGCAGCCAGGTGAGGAGGAGCATGAGTGGGGGTGGCCAGCAGGGGGACTGGAAGGGTGGCAGGGCATGGAGATGGCCAAGCAGCTCTCCCCTGGCACCTTTGTCAGCAGCGCCTTCTCCTTCTCAGCCACTTTCCTCCAGATTTTGGTGACCTGGTGAATCTCAGAGTTGAGGAAGCGGTTCTGGGTCCGGTAAGCTTCCATGTCATCCTGGAGAAGAGAGCACAGCATTTCAGGAGTTGACCACGGATACTTCCTGGTCCTGAGGAGTCATCCCGATAATGACAACAGAAAAGGAAACCTAAGCTGGGCATGATGACACAGGTCCCTGAGCCAGTGACTCAGAGGCTGAGGCAGGAGGATTGCGAGTGTGAGGCCAGCCTCAGCAACTTAGCAAGGCCCTAAGCAATTTAATGAGACCCTGTCTCAAAATGAAAAATAGAAAGGACTGGGAAAGTAGCTCAGTGGTAAAGCATCCCTGGATCAATCCCCAGTATGAAAAAAAGAAAAAGAAAGAAAAAAGAAAGGAAGGAAAAAAAGGAAGTCTGGAAGGACAGAACCACTCCGAGCCTCCTCTCTATCCTGCTCCCCGCAGGCTGTGGTGAAAGGGGGGCCAGGCTGGGGTTCAAGGCCTGGCTCGAGCCCTTGGAAGGGTCTCTACACTGTTGTGTTTCCTCATTTGTAAAAGGGCAAATACCAACCACCCCTGTGGGCAGTGAGGACGCTAAATGGTCACACAGATAACACCAAATGTGGGGACAGAACACAGCAAGTGCTCAGTAGTATTTCGTTTTTTGTTTTTCTTTGTTTTGTTTTTTGGTGGTGCTGGGGATTGAACCCGGGGCCTTGTGCGTGTGAGGCAAGCTCTCTACCAACTGAGCTACAACCCCAGCCCCAGTAGTATTTGTTTTAAAAAGCAATGCATTTTATCAAATATTTGTGACCATGAAGTGTCACTGTAAATATTGTTCTATGTTGTTCTATAAGTTTTCTAGTCTTTTTTTGTGTGTGTGTGCTGGGACTCAAACCCAGGGCCTCAAGCATACTAAGCATGTGCTTTACCACCAAGCTGTACCCCAGACCCCTTAGTGTTCTCATAAGGGACAGGGTGGCCTTGTACTTAGGATCCTTCTGACTCAGTCTCCCACAGAGCTGGGACACAGGCTTGCGCCACCCGCCCAGCTCCAGTGATTGTTTTCAGTGATGGACAACTACACCACAAGTTACTTACAACCCTTTTCTTTCTGTTGTTTCTAAAATTTGGGCCCCGGCTGTTTTGAGCTAGTATTTGATTTTGAATAACACTGTGAAGAACGGCTCTGAGCCTAGAGGGTTCCCTCTGCACTGTCCCCTGGAAGCAGCCAGAGCCCTTGGCCGGGGTGTGCGAGAGGCTAGGCAAGTCTTGGGAAGGTTTGCCCAGGACCTGAGCTATAGCCGTGGTTCTTGGTCTTTATTCTGCCAGGAAGGATGTTCCAGAAGCCATTCAAACACACTGCGCACATCAGTCATCACTGATGAGTCGCAGGTACTCTTGCTGTGGCCCAGCCTTTCTCTCTGCTGCCCCCTGGGCTGCAGGGGAGTACCCAAGGGGCTGCTACAGAGCTGACCTTGGGCAGGCCCTGAGTGATGGGGACATGAACAGCATTTCTCATGGCCTGTGGCACTTTGCCATCAGAGACAGGCCCCATGGGCAGCCCCCAGATGATTTTGGCCCTCTGCTGGGAGGGTCTTCACTCTGGCCAGGATGGCGTCCAATATCCCTCCCAGCTTCCTTGCGACCTTCACTTCCTCATCCCAGGTCTAGAATTGTTGACAGGTATTTTCAAGACTTTGGAAATAGGGCTTTTGTCACATAAGGTGCCCCATTTCCTGCTCTAGGGAGGGCGGACGTGCTCGGAGTGGCCTGTGGTGTGAGCACCTTTGGAGCAGCAGTGGCTGGGGTGGCGACTGGGCAGCACCCTCCCATTCAGCTCGTGACCCTACCTTGAATGCTCTCCTGGGTTCAGAACTGTAGGGAGGAAAAAGAGAGACCTCAGAGAAGAGAAGAGCCGCGGGACTCACCAGCAGAGTAAGGGGAGGAGAGGGCCTGGGGGGAAGCCCCTGAGGCCTCCCTGCCTTTGCAGGAAAGAGGACCCTGGGATTCTCCCTGGGCAAGGCCCTTGTGCCAGCATGGGAGACCTGGGTCCACACTGCATGCCTGCCCCTCATGCTGTGTGGCCCAGGACCAGTCCTCCCACCTCTCTGTAGCTCATTGTCCCTACCAGAAAATGAGAGGGCAAACTAGATTGCTGAGTCTTCCCAGCTCTGATACTCAAGAGGTGGCACAGTTACTGTCCCCAGTTCCCAGCTTTGATATTCAACCCCCCCTTTTTTCCCAAGGTGGGGGAGCATGTGAGGATGCTCACTGAGCCACATTCCTAGCCCTTTTAAATTTTGAGACAGGGTCTCAATCAATGGCCAAGGCTGGCCTTGAATTTGTGAGGCCCAGCTTCCCAAGTGGCTGGGATTACAGGTGTAAGCCACCACATCAAAACCATCATTTGTGGCTGGGCATGGTGGTGCACACCTATATCCCCAGTGGCTCAGGAGGCCGAGGCAGGAGGAGTTCAAAGGCAGCCTCAGCAACTGTCACAGGTTAAGCAGCAGGAAATGCAAATACTCCCTGAGGCCAAACTCAAAGATGGGCAGGTGTAATAATCACATTAATGTGACTCACATGTGCAGTTGGTTGCACCTGGCTCGCTGATGACCTAAATTCCTTAAAGATATGACCTCAGGGACACACTCAGGCTCATAGGTGAGTCAGAGAAAACCGGATGCAGCTGATCTGATTCTGAGCCCTGTGCGGCTCCACGGGTCTTGAACAGTGGGCCCCATGGACGCAAAGACCCTGAGCTGGGGCAGGGCGTGGCAGAAGCACGTCACTATGGTCACTATGCACACAGTCCAGCTCATATGCGTTTGAAAGCTCTGGTTTTGTTTTAATCCCAAAGACTCTGGCTTCACACTGAGGGATTCCAGGTCTAGCTGGTGTGTGGTTCTTCAGTTTCTGCTGACAGGGAAGGCAATCTGGGTTGCAAGTTCACTTCCTTTTACCTCCTAACAGCCCTTCAGAGGCAGCATGGAACTTTCCACGGAGGTGAGAGAATTTGCTCCAGGCCATGCAGCTAGCGAGAGGCAGAGCCAGGACTCCAACACTAGCCATCTCACTTCAAAGCTGGGCCGTGAGCCTGTTCAACACACCCACTGCTTCTCTTGGAAGCTTCCTGTTTCTTTTGCTTTCTTTCTCCCGCTCCTTCCATTCCTCAGTTCCTTGATTCAGGAGCACAGGACTTTCCAAGGTTATAGAGGCGGCAGAACATGTGGCTCTGAAGGGCAGCACTCGGGGCAAGCCTGGCCCTGGTTTTATATGGCTGCCTCTAGGAGCAGTAGGCCTAGAAGCACCTATTCCCAGTCTCAGGCTCCTGGGGTCCATGTGGCACCTGTCATTCCCTCTAGACAGGAGACTGCAGCCCATGGCAGGCATCACAACTCAAATTAAGTTCCTGTCCCCGGTGCTGGGGCTGGTCCCCGTGGACTGGGACAGCTTGGGGAAAGGGACAGGGACAGAGCAGGGGAAGGCAGGGTGGGGCAGGGAAGATGGCAGCAGCTAGAGAGGCAGAGAAGCTGGGAGGCGGAGCAGGCCGCAGACGTGAGCTCCCCATTTCAGGAGTCTGGGTGAGCTTCTTTACCTTGTCAGCCTCAGCCTTCCCATCTGTAAAGTGGGGTGCCCGAGCGTGACTGCCTCTCATAGGGCTGGTGCAAGGATAAAATGAGGCAATGCAAGTAAAGCAGGCAGCACTGGCACAGGCCACGCCATCGATCCCATACGCAGAATGGTCACGAACCAGCCACAGTCGGCGTGAGTACAGGAGTACTGGGAGAGGCCCTGGGGCGTCAGAAGGGCACCAAAGAAGGCCATCCAGGCCGGGCCCCAGACTTCGCTGGTCTTGAGCTTTTTCATCTCTAATCTGATAATCAGAGATGCCCACTTTTCTGCAGCCCAGGTCACCATGAAAGGGTCAAATTGTATCCATCAGCATCTACTTCCGGTACAGATGCTCGGAGGGAGAGCCCTTCTCCACCTTGAAAACCATCAGCCGCCCTCCTGGGGCCCAGGGAGTGGGGGGAGGCCTACCTTGAGGTGCTCCATCCTCTCCTGCTGGCTCAGGAAGTCCCTGTCGGCAGTGCTGAGGGGCTGGTCAGGGGGCCGTGTGAAGTCCTGGGTGACCTTCTCCGAGAGCTTGCAGATGACCTGCTGCTTGGCCTGGTTCTTGTCCATAAGCAGCTGCACGTGCTGCTGCAGCTCCTGCACCTGCTGCTCCCGCAGGCTGGCCGTGTGCACCAGGCTCTCGCGCTCCTGTTCCAGGGCCTCCACCCTCCTGCCCAGCTCTGCGATCTGCCGCACTTTGTGCCGCACCAGCTCCAGCCGGTCCTTGTCCTCTGCTGCTGCCAGGTACGCGCTGGATGCCCTTTTCTCCTGCTGGGCGGCCTCCAGCGCCTTGTGGAGGATCTTCACCAGCTCCTGGGCAGGGAGAGGGCGGCATCTCTGAGTTGGGGGAAGCTTCTCAGGTGCCAGGGGTGGGCACATGTTGTCACCATCCTACCAACCCTGAGAGGTACCTGGGCATCTTGTCCCATCTCTGTCCAGCACAGTGCTGGTTGGGCACACAGCTCCCCAGCAAAACACCACTTCCTAGGAAGTCACAAGTGGAGGTGGCCAAGTGACTATTCTGCCTAAAAGAGGAATGAGCACTGAGGTGTGTAGGCACCTTCTAGGTCACCTTTGAAATCACTAGACACATGCTCCTCTGGGCCAGTGCCCCTTCCTTTCCTTCCGGCTGGAAAATGGCAAGAATGAGAAGTCACCTCATACCCATAAGCTGAGGTATGAGGACGGCAGAGCTGCCCCCTAGCACACACAGCTGCTCACCTACCTCTCCATTCTATAGTGCAAGAGAGAAAGAACTCTGAATACTATGGGCTTCTTTGTTATAGCAGCTGAATCCATAATCTGACTCATACATGCCCATTTCAGGGATGAACAAACTGAGGCCCAGGAGAGTAGAGTGAAATTCAATCTTGAATCATGCAGACTCCAAAGCCTAAGCTTAGTCAGTAATAAAACCAGGGGTAGCAGCTACGTGGCACAAAAATATTACTCTTCCCTCTCATCCCATGGCAGATATTGTTAGCTAGGATATTCTTTACTGCAATGCCGTATTGAGGCCTCACAATCCTTTTCAATATAGCATCACCAAGACAGCATTAGAGAGGAAATACATTGGCAATTCCCACACAAAGTTGCCGCAGTCTGGCTGGGCACAAAATCACGAGCCACTCACAGCCTTGCAGATTCAAACAGCAAGTCTTTATTCCCGACCTCTCACCAGCACTCTACACGCACGTTCTGGGGGAAATCCACTGGCACTCTACATCCCAAATATTCTCTGAATCCCGCGAGAACTCAACGGGAACTTAAGGAGCGGGCAGGCGCCTGAGGCAGCAGGATATGCCCTATTCCCAGCAGGATACACCCTAAACCTGGACCCACCCTAATCCAGCAGGATCCCCCCCAAACCCGGATCCACCCTGGTCCTTGAGCAGAGTTACCTTTCTCAAACATTCATGCAATGTCACTGCAAATGACCTGGGTCCAAGGCAAGCCCATTTCCACAATGGAGAGTCCTTCCTCTAAGCAACATGGGGTAGGCTGACAAGGAAATTGCCATGCGTCATTCCTACTTAGCTACGGCTCTCAGCACAAAGACATGCACAGAGGACCTCATTCAATCTTTTTGTAACGGGCCCCTGAGCCCACTGAATGACACTCATAGGGCTGGTATAAGGGAGTGCTAGAAAGTACAGAAAAAACAGGCCTTGATTCCCTCCTCAGCAGCTGTTCACGTGGAAACTCAAGGTCTGCTGCTCCCCTGGCTTCCAGCCTTAAGCTCTTAGGACTTGAGCCTGTGAATTCCTCCAGGGCCAGGGTCAGGATGCCAGCAGCCAGGCAGCCCCGCAGCCAGGCCCACAAGCCATGGCCTTTTCTCAGTGATTATATCCACTGTGCCTGTGCCAAAGTCTTTAAACAAATGGATCAGCTGGATAGGATTATTCGCTAAGAGTAATTCCATTTTGAAGGAAAACTGCCAAATATTGTGACTATTTGAGAAGCTAATGGCAAGCCCCCCTTAGCTGAGTCTTCTGAAACCTCGGTACTTGTGACTTCCTCTGGTTCTTTTCCACCCACCCACCCACCCACTCATCCATCTATGCGTCCAACCTTTCTCAAGCAGGTGCTCAGGGCCACGCCCCGTTGCCAGGTGGAGGGGCTCAGAGGGGGACCAGTCACAGTTCCCACCTCCAAGAACTGCAAAGGCTGGTGGGAGTAGGAGGGAAGAGGAACTACCAATGGGATGATTTGTTACAAGAAAGGAGAGCAGGAGTGTTTGTGGGGGCACAGAGCTGGGAGTGGGACATTCAGACACTCTACAGAGTGGCAGAGTGCCTTCAACTAAGCCCTGGAGCACAAAGAGGATGAGAGGTGACTGAGCTGACAGGGGAGATCAGCATGGGGGAGTTAAAGATGGAAGACTTTTTTTACATGGTGCTGAGGATCGAACCCAGTGCCTCACACATGCTAGGCAAGCGCTCTGACACTGAGCCACCACCCCAGCCCCAGATGTAAGACTTTTAAAATGCAATCCCCATTCATCCACCTAACTTTCCAGACGGGGCTCCTCCTGAAGGAAGCTCACAGGGAGCTGGAGTAGAGGCTTGGAAAAAGGGAAGAGCAGCTCAGAGCTGTGAGAGTCCTTGGTAAGGCAGGGGGGTGGGGTGGATGGCCCTACACACTAAAGCAGCATGTCTGGAATGCTCAGAATGCAGCAGCCAGCTTCCCAGGACTGTGTGACAGAGATCAACATTCCTGTGGCTCCAGGATGGCTGGCAGCTTAGAACATTTTCGGGTTCAGTTGAGATCTGGAGATTTCCTTGGGTGACTGCCTGGTGAATTCACTGGACACCACTGTTCAGACTTGCTCTGGGTCAGATCCAGTGGGTATCTTTTCTCTAATTTTGAGAGAGTGGAATCTAAAGTCATTTCATTACATCTGGCTGTCTCCTAATTTCCCACCTGGCTCTCACAATCTAAGGGCAGGGTATCAGCCCAGGAGCTCTGCTCCCACCCCCAGGACCCTCCACCAGAACGAGAGGGGCCTGGAAGGAGGGAACCAGGGGGGGAGGGAAGGAGCCTCAGGAGGACCTGGCAGATGAGGAGTGGCAATGGATCATGGATGCAGGAGGCCAGCAAGGTTCTGGGGACCTTATGATCCAGTGGCCTTGCTATCACACGGGGTTCCTGAAGCCCAGATAGGAAAAGGGTGAGGAGCCCAACTCCTAATCTAGAAGCCTTCACTTTTCCATGCTCTGTAGTTCATGGATTTCATGGTGAAATACTTCTTTCATGGTTGTTTTTTGTTTTGTTTTGTTTTGTTTTTTGGTACTGGGGATTGAACTCAGGGGCATTGGACCACTGAGCCACATCCCCAGCCCTATTTTGTATTTTATTTAGAGACGTGTCTCACAGAGTTGCTAAGTGCCTCATTGTTGCTGAGGCTGGCTTTGAATTCAGGATGCTCCGAACTCAGCCTCCCAAATTGCTGGGATTATAGGTATGCACCACCACACCCAGCCATGTTTTTTTGTTTTTGAAAAATAAAATAACCCACAAACATGGCAGCATTATTCAAAATACCCAAGAGATGGGAACAACTCAAGTGTTCACTGAGGGATGAATGAGTAAACAAAATGTGGTGCATACATACAAGGGAATATTATCCAACTTTGAAAAGGAAGGAAATTCTGACATGTGCTGTGTTATGAATGAAACACTGAGGACAATATGCCAAGTGAAATGACCCAGTCACAAATGTCCAACACTGTATGAGTCCACTGGTGTGACCCCACAGAGCTAGAGAGTGGAATGGTGGGGACCAGTGGCTGCAGGAATGGAAATGGGAAGTAGGGGGTTATGGTTTCATGGGTTAGGAGTTTTGGTTTACAAGATGAAAAAGTTCTTAAGATCTGTAGTACAACAATGTGAGCCAGGTACAGGGGTGCATGCCTGTGATACCAGCACCTCGGGTGGCTGAGGCACGAGGATCACAAGTTCAGAGCCAGCCTTAGCAATGTAGCAAGGCCCTGAGCAACTTAGTGAGACCTGTCTCAAAATTTAGATTTAAAAAAAAAAGGGCTGGGGATGTGGCTTAGCAGGTAAGTATCTCTGGTAGCAAAACAAAACAAAACCAATTTAAGAATATTTAATACTACTGATCTGTACACTAAAAAATAGTTAAAATGTTGTGTTAAATATAGGTCTCGTGTGCGGTGAAAAAAAAAAAAAATATATATATATATAT